AAGTGAGTGCTGCGATTCTACAGCATGAGCTTCCACGGAAGAGATCCGACCCAGGTAGCTTCTCGACTCCTTGTAAAATCGGGAACATTGAGATTGACCGTGCATTGTGCGATTTGGGTGCCAGTGTGAGCTTGCTTCCATTGTCTATCTATAAGAAGCTCAACGTTGGAGATCTTAATCCGACGAGGATGGCACTACAGCTTGCGGATAGATCCGTCAAGTATCCTGCAGGTATTCTTGAGGACGTCCCATTGAAAGTTGGGGATTATTATGTTCCCGTTGATTTTGTTGTCTTAGACATGGACGAGGACTCGAAGATACCGATTATACTAGGCCGACCGTTCTTAAACACGGCCGATGCGGTGGTTCATGTTCGTGCTGGTCGTCTTACGATGAAGATAGGTGACGAGACGGTGGAGTTCACCTTAGATCACAACATGAAGTAGCCATCCACCACCGATTCAGCGTGCTATGTCGATGTGCATGAAATCCTCACTCAAGAAGTTTTCGATCAGTTTCGGGAAGTCGATCCTTTAGAGATATCTCTCCTTGCGTCGAATGAGAGCATATACAACAATTGGGAGGATATCCGGGAGCTTACACGAGCATTGAACGAAGGATCGGACGAATATCACGACCACAAGATGGAAACAAGAGTACATAGGGGCATCTCACATTAATTCTCTATATTTTTAGCCTTGTTTTACATTCCTTTTATTCCCGGGAGTGATTTAAATAATTCATTCGGGAATCGGGGTGTTACAAATCCTCCCCCCTTAAAAAGAATTCGTCCTCGAATTCAGAATCTCGTGACACCATCCAAATTTCCTCGTATTCGATATCATCACCCAAAACACATTCATATCGTCATGTCATCCGAAGCATAAGTCTGATACAAACCAAACGTCATACATAAGAGTTCGTACAACGCTCAAATAAAAGATGTGGACAACTACTACGCATCTCTGCCTCGGGTTCCCAAGTCATGTCGGAGACCCCTTGGCTCTGCCACATGACCTTCAGAAGTGGCACCTCTTTCGTCCGCAACTTCTTGATCTTCTGATCCACGATCTGCAGCGGCTCGTCTCGAAAATGTGTAGCCTCCGTAAACTCCAACTCCTGTGGCTGTAGCACGTGAGAAAGATCTGCTACGTACCTCCGCAGCATCGACACGTGGAACACGTCATGGATATTGCCTAACTTTGGCGGCAATCCAAGACGGTATGCAACAACTCCCACTCTCCCGATCACGGGATAAGGTCCGATGTAGCGCGACTTCAGCTTCCTGCTCTGCCCAAACCTCGCATGACCCCGCATCGCCTGTACTCGGAGGAAGGCATAATCTCCAACCTCAAGCTCGAAGTCTCGTCATCGCTAATCGGCGTATGACTTCTGCCGATCCTGTGTCGTCTTCAGATGTGCCCGAATCCTCCGTATCACCTCTGTGGTCTCCTCGACAATCTCTGGCCCAAACTCGCGATGCTCCCTGATCTCTGTCCAGCACAACGGTGTCTTGCACGATCTCCCGTACAAGGCCTCGTATGGAGACACTCCGATGCTTGTGTGATGGCTGTTGTTGTATGCAAACTCGCACAACGTCAAGTACCGGTCCCCCGGAGCTCCCCACTCCATTATACAAATCTGAGCATGTCCTCCAGGGTCTGTATCGTTCGCTCCGACTGACCGTCTGTCTGGGGGTGGTATGACGTGCTCATCTTGAGCTTCATCCCCAGTGCCTCCTGTATCGCCTTCCATAGGCGTGATGTGAATCGGGCGTCTCTGTCCGAGATGATCTCATTCGGAACCCCATGTAGATGCACGATCTCATCGACGTAAATCTGCGCCAACTGCTCAATCGGATACTCCTGTCGGATGGGGATGAAATGAACGGATTTGGTTAGTCGATCCACGACTACCCAAATGGTGTTCTTCTTGCTTGGTGTGAGCGGTAATCCGACCATGAAGTCCGTGGCGATCGAATCCCACTTCCACTCGGGTATCTCCACCGGTTGTAGCTTTCCTCCCGACATCTGTCGCTCTGACTTCACCTGCTGGCAAATGAGGCGTCTCGCTACGTAATCCGCCACGTCCCTCTTGACCCTCAGCCAAGTATACCACTGTCGTAGACCTTGATACATCTTACTCGCCCTCGGATATATCGCCAACCTCGACTGATGTGCCTCTAACAAAATCTCCTGTCTCAGCTCCGGATCATCAGGCACACATAGTCGATTTCCCAGTCGCAACACTCCCTGCTCGTCGATGCGATAGCCCTTACGACTATATTCCTCGATGTGATCCATGTATATCGAGCGAGTAAAGGATCACCGCGTTGTTCCCTGACCATGCGCTCTATCAGAGTCAGTGTCGACTCCTCGAGCATCAATGAGAGATGTCCCAACATCGCAGTCAACTCAGCGGTGTTGCTGCGAGATGAGGTGACAACACGTATGGCCGCTAAGATCTTCTTCCTGCTAAGAGCATCGACCACTACGTTAGCCTTCCCCGGATGGTAGACTATCTCCAGATCATAATCTGCAATCAACTCCAATCATCTCCATTGTCTCAGATTCAGATCCTTCTGAGATATCACATAGGTCAAGCTCTTGTGATCTGTGTTGAGCTTAACCTTCTCCCCGTACAGATACGATCTCCAGATCTTCAGCGTGTGAACTACCGCCGCTAACTCCATGTCATGTGTCGGGTAGTTCTCCTCATGTTTCTTCGGCTGCCTTGACACGTAAGCGATCACGTGTCCCTCCTGCATCAACACGCAATCGAGTCCGTACTTGGATGCGTGATGTCGCAAATCTAGGCGAATAAATTCGATCAAGTTATAGTAACCTAGACTTAACAATTAACCGCAAGTGTACGGATCATGTGTAGTAGCTAGGGTCGAACACAGGGACAAGTAAACAACTGAATCAGATTCCAATCCAAATCTAAATCTAAAGAAAATATGAGGATGATGAGAATGTATCAAAAGCAAATAATAAAAACAAACGATAAACTATCAATGGCAAAACACTGCAGGCTTCGGGATTGCTTTACATGTAAGAATCTTTCAAAAGATGCAAACTAAGTGGTTTACTATCCGATTCAGGGAATTCAAGCTCTAAAGTAGAGATTAACCCTCTTGAGTCTAACCTCACTATCCAGGCTTTATCCTACTAATCTCTCGATTCAATAGTCTAAAACCCTGGATGCATGAATGAATGCTATCATAATCCCTAGGCAAATATTCATCTCTCAATGCAATACCTGTTCTATTTATTGAGTTATTTCCATATTAGAATCTCATATGTCTATGCGAATTAAAACCCTAAGTTCATTCAATCAAGTGGCCAACAAGATCAAACGCATTAAACGCAACTCAATAAACCGAATAGTATAAATAAATCCACAAAGTCTGGAATTAAAAACCAAAGATCCCTACATAGCAAATCCCTAACCTACAGCAGAGGAATTACTCGCTAAACATCAAGACGTCGGAGTTCATATCAATAATACAAAACATCGTAAAATAGAAGAAAGGAAGAATGCTTAGTCGATTTTCCGGCTTTGTAATCTTCGTCTTCTATTCCGATCTCTTGCCTCTTGATAATCGCCCCCTTTTATGTGCTCTAGGGTGTATTCTCTGTGTAAAGCTTGAATGAATCTCGACCGAGAGGCTTTCCCCTCTTATTTCCCTTCGGTTTGGACAAAATTGGAAGTTTTCCCGAATCTGGGGGTCAAGCCGATCGTTTCGGCAAAGCCAAACCGACCGGTCTTTCTGAGCAATTTTCCAACTTCTGCAATGCCGAACCGATCGTTTCGTCCATCCCGAAACGATCGTTTCGTGTCTCTGAGCAATTTCAACGAGCTTCACAAATTCGCTCATAACTTGCTGCTCCGATATCGGATTTGGGTGATCTTGACGTCTATGCGTAGATATTGAGAAGAGCTTTCCAATGATGTAGAGAATGCATGTTTTGGACTTGTGGAGTGAAAGTTATTGAACTTGAAAATTTGGACATTTTCTAAGCTTCACGTTTTCTCTAGAAATATTTCAAATATTCCCGTTTCGTCCGTGATGTTCCGTAGTCCATGTTTTCCACTTCTTTTGCTCTTTTTATACGTACACCAAAGAATACAACCATCCAATATTGAAGCCAAATATGCCCTAAAATGCCTACAAAAATGTAAACCGAGTGAAATACATTAGACATCTTATATCAAAACATCACACAAAATATGTGTTATCAAACTCCCCCAGACTTAAACCTTTGTTCGTCCTCGAGCAAATACTCCGTGAAAAACAATCTAAAAGGAGGGCGAGACAATGACATAACTCAAAATGATAATCGAGAGTGAAACCTCTATCTGACCTAGATCCCGTGAACAATGACCAAGTCTGTCTATTATGATCTCCCTCTCTAAAGGATAATCTTTCCTGGCCATGGGATCTATACCGTTACCTAGAACAACTCTAAGGACTTCAATCATCTATCAAGCGTGTTTCTCGAACCTATTACGCCATTCTACCTAATCGTATCTAGTCTACCCTGTCGACATTCGTTCTTTTTCTCTTCTTTCATCTAGCTAGATTTTTCTTTTTTATTTTTGCTAGCATTTCGGGTTCCTAGGACGTTGAAGTTGAAGGGTTTTTATTCATCTTTTTTTTTTTCGATTTCTTTTATTGAATAGCCCGACCCACAACTTAGACCCGAACCATCGAATCGATGCACTCATGTCCTCGAACGATTTTCGTTGACGAGATAGTGACAGCGGAGTGTCGAGATGCTCACTATCTTTTTCTATACATAAAGAAATAAGAATGCATTTGATAATAGACTTTACCGATTTTGACAAACATGGGAACAGTTCTTATAGAAACTTTTCTACTTGGCTAGACAACATCGGTCCCATGGGTTCCAACCAACGATTTCTACCCCACAAGCTATTCTAGACAATCCTAAAGGTCAAACAATTAATTCAACAAAACATAACCACGTTCAACGGATCACAATATTTTCAGGACGTTTCTACTCTCTCATACCATAGATCATCACATCAATGCTCAAAACGGTTTTATGCACGTGATCTTATATGTCCTAAACACTATATGTAAATGCATAGTCCTAAAAACACTATATGTAAATGCCTCCCGGAAGCGCTTGTTTAAGGTCGTTAGCTTGACTCGTCTTGCTCATGTGGGAGGGGGTTCAGGGGGAATGGTTCTTGGATGAATGGTTTTAGGTGGAATGAGATTAGATGGGACAAACTCACCTGACTTGGTATGACATCGGTCGATGTGATGTAGTTCTTCATTTACCTTATCGAGCGACCGAAGATTGAGTGGTGGTAATTGAGGGTCAGGATGGAAGTCCGATGGAAGAGGTGATGGATCTCCTTGAATATCAGTTTGGGGAACTGCTCGACCCGAGATGGGAATGGTCTCAGACGAGTAAACAACCAGTTCAACCTTATGTGATTTCACCTCGAATTTTCGCTTTTGTGAACATGATTGATCAAACTGAACGTCTTCATTGTGTTTCTTTAGGCGTGAAGGGAACGGAACCGGTGGTGGTTTTGGCGGTGGAGGCACATATATCGGTTCTGTCTCTTTGTAGTTCGTCCTTGAATGCTCATCTGCGGTCAAAAAGTCAGGCGTACAATCCAAATAAGCATTAGAACACTCACCCCTTTTTGTGACCTGTGGTAGCTCTAACTCAGATTGCTCGACGTCTTTCATCGATATGGTGTTAAGATACTCCCTGGAGTCCATTTCTGATTGTTTCATAAAAGTTTCTTTCCACTGGGAGGCAATTTTAGCAGTTCTGTGACATCCGTAACCCGTGTACAGTATACGGGCTATGCCACATGGACAAATAGTAATAAAATAATAATGCGGAAGAAAAAAATACGAAATCCAAAAACATTTTTAAACAAACCAGAGTAAGCAGCAGAAAATACAACAGGCGATCAGTATCACAAAATAACACATGTCCGAATAGTTATAATTTAACCGTACAAAATACGGGAAATACAAGTCCCGTAACCCAAAATGTAAATCCCGTACATGATGCTGTCTCTAGTTTTATTTTTCTTCTTTTTTTCTTCTTTTCCTTTTTTCTTTTTTCTTTTCTTAAAACCCTAGAAGACATTCTCCTTATATAGACTTTCCAAATATTCTAATTTGACAAGGAATAGATTACTAGGAATCCTAATCTAATTAGGTTTCCTAAACCTGTTAGAATTCTAATCTCATTAGGTTTCCTAGATGTAATAGAATTCTAATCTCATTAGGATTCCTATACATAATAGGATTCCTAATC